GTTGGGCGAGAGGTCACAGGGGGTCAAAGGTCTTTCGAGATTAATTTCATTTAGGCTTTCAAGAAGCGAAGATAAAAAAAAATTGTGTAATTTACCTCGAGTTCTTTTCAAATTTTAGCTTCTGGAGTATTGTGTCTTGCATGGAAGCAGTAGAGCTTTTGTGAGACATTGCCTTGTTAAAGTCAGTGATACTAGAGGACCACATAATCAAAACAAAATTGATAAAATTTGAAGTGAATTTGGTAACGAATGGCGCCCAGTCTATCCTTATTGCCCGTGTTAGGAAAATAAAAATACGTCTAGATACCTGCTTAAATGTATTAATTTATCTATGTGTATTAAAGGTTTTATACATATACATGACACACTTAAATCTGTACACAAATGCGCTTCATTGATGTATTAACCTAAGTGTTACAGTTGCTTGGTCTACCTTTTCAAATGAATGACTTCTTCCTTTTCACCAATGCCGTCACGTGTATTCAGTCAACAGTAGTTAATATGCAGAGGTCGTCTTCAAGAATTTGTTCCGGATATCTCCTCCAGCTGTTTTAGGGAGACACAGCCTACAAATTCACACTTTATTTCATTCGGTTAACACTTTATTTCATTCGTTACGGTTCTTTTAATTTGTTTTGTAAAAGTTTATTTTCACTATGTCGTATCCCTCTTCTTGCACTTCTATAGTTGTATTTCTGATTTTCTGGATTGTTTAAAGAATCATAATGGTAATAATTACTATAACGGTTACTTAATCTGACACCAACGCTGCTTCCTTGCAGACATATACATCTTTTTAAAAAATTCGAATGAAATTCCTGGCCTAATTTTTCCATTGGATCTCAACACTTTTTGGTTTATTCATCGGACAATTAAAATTATTTTACCAGCTTTTGAAATTTTGAGGGGAAACGGATCTAAATTTGTTTATCTTTGGCCCCCGGTACCACTTCGTCCTGCGTGGGCGAATGTGTTTAATATTATTATTTTCTTTATTTTAAGCATTATTGTACGACACTCGTTTCCATATCTTTTGATTTTCATTTACTGTGCTCTTTCTTACAGAAATTTTTGAACCGCATATAAATCAGCTTCAAAGTTTCTTTGCATGTAAGTTTCCCCAAAATTGAGGATGGCTTGATAAAGGAAGAAAAAAAAAATAAACGTACCTGCTTTTTTCCTTCAGCTCTTCTCCTCAGCTTTATCACTTATGCTTCTGCAGAGGATATGGTAATGGAAATTATGAGCAGTGATTTGTCTATCTATTCGTTTGTCTATCGACATTGTCTCTCTGTCAACCTGTTGAACAAGAACAGGATTTTTTTATCACTTATGTGGAAAGATAATGAATAAATCAGAAATGCTCATCATATTTCCATTTTCTCAATTTCCAGCTGTAAATTTTGCGCATCGCTCCTCTAAGAATCAAAATTTTTCGTAAGTTGTGCATGCTGGATTAATAAGCAATTTTTCCCCTAATCCTTCCCAATCCTTCTTACAAGCGAGCTGTTGCTATGAACAGGACTTCAATGGCTACATGTTCACCCTGCCATTACTCCTTTTAAGGTTAACGAATCCATAACAAATGAAAAGTACGTTGAGATAGTTATAACGGTTACTCTTCGCCAAGGCTAAGGTAAAGACAGATCTAGAGAGAAAAGTCACAATATCTTTTCTTTGACTTTTCGCTTTTAGAATATGAGAAAATTGTTGCCAATCATTTTTTCCTCATCAATTATTATAGCATTCACTCCTTAGAAAAAACATTTTTTACCCTCATGTTCTTTTTCTTCGAATGACAAGACAACCACCCGTTTGTCCAAGGGGAGCAACGACATCCCCGGTGGCAAGGAAAACATACAGAGGAAAAGAACAGGGAAAGAAAGCATTTTTTAAGAAGTTATTCAGCAGTCTTTGCCTCTTTTTCCCCCACCAGGTGTCCCCGTCGGCTTTTTCGAAGTAGCGACGGCGGGAGACACTTTATCTTCCTTTTCCTCCTCCAAGGCGGCTCTCTCGTCCTCCGAGATGACCTCCCTGGCCAAGGAAGACTCGACTATGACCGCTTCCACTCGGGTATGTCCTTAGGAAACCCGACCCTCGAGTGCGAAGGCTTATAAAGAAACAAAGGGATAAAAAAAAAAAAAAATGAACTACAGGACGCATTCAAAACAGATATATTTTTAGACCAGCACCTTCTGTATACGTAGCCCTCGTTTATAATTTTTTCTGTCTTATTTTCTTTTGCTTTTTTCGTTTTTGTGTTTCCGTTGGGCTGCTACACCCTGTAGTCGACTTTATAGAAATTTACTGCTGACTTGAAATAGAAATTAGTGCATTTCGCTTCCGTCGTGGAATGTTGGGGCCATGAGATCTCTTTGTGCTTTCTTTATTCCCTGTCATTCCGTTATTCGCTTCTTTTCTTCTTTTCTTACCGGAAGAAAATACGTTCTTTATCGTCCCTGATCAATCTTTGTCTTATTTTTCTTTCTTTCTTTCTTTTACTTATTTTTATTTTTTTCCTTGTAACTGGCTTTTTCTTCTCTGCTTCTCTAGCTCTAGTTCTCTCTCTCTCTTTTCTCTCTCTCTCTCTCTCTCTCTCTCTCTATATATATATATATATATATATATATATATATATATATATATATATATATATATATATATCTGTCTGTCTCTCTCTCTCTCTCTTCTCTCTCTCTCTCTCTCTCTCTCTCTCTCTCTCTCTCTCTCTCTCTCTCTCTCTCTCTCTCTCTCTCTCTCTCTCTCTGCCTCTTTATCTCTCTGTCTGCCTTTCTTCTCTCTCTGCCTCTGTTTTCTCTCTCTGTCTCTCTGTCTCTCTCTCTCTCTCCTCTCTCTCTCTCTCTCTCTCTCTCTCTCTCTCTCTCTCTCTCTCTCTCTCTCTCGTCTCTCGTCTCTCGCTCTCTCGCTCTCTCTCTCTCTCTCTCTCTCTCTCTCTCTCTCTCTCTCTCTCTCTCTCTCTCTCTCTCTCTCTTCTCTCTCTCTCTCTCTCTCTCTCGTTCTCGTTCTCTCGTTCTCTCGTTCTCTCGTTCTCTCGTTCTCTCGTTCTCTCTTTCTTTCTATCTATCTATCTATCTCACTCTGTCTCTCTCTCACTCTTTTCTGTCTCTTTCTCTCTCTGTCTGGCTTTCTATCTCTGTCTCTTTTTTCTCTCTGTCTGTCTCTCTGTCTGTCTGTCTGCCTCCTTCTCTCTTTCTATATATATATATATATATATATATATATATATATATATATATATATATATATATATATATATATATGTATAATATATAATATATATATATATATATATATATATATATATATATATATATATATATATATATATATATGTATGTATATATATGTATATATATCTGTTAATTTTTTAGATTATTTTTGGCTCATTGAGAGTATTTAATACATATTTAAGATTTAATATGATTATGTACTTGGAAGAGAGCAATATTTTTTGGGCTTCTGCAGATCTATAATTCTATGCGGATCGATCGTGTATCTCAAAAATATATATTTGAACATGAAATTTTAGTTATGGATTCCGTTTACCTTCTATTGTTGTTCTATCCTGGTTATTTTTTTTTTCTTTTCTTTTAATGTAGTTGCCGAGTGCTGACGTGTTTTCATACTAGGTGAAACTTTCATGTTTCTAAAAAAAAAAAGGAAAAATATAATACTTCACCCTCTTTTTTTTCTTTTTTTCTAGTTTTGGCGCTTTCATTAACCCAAACAAAAACAATCTAAAACTTCAAATTATTTTAAAATATTAACCTAATCCCCCCTCCCCTTTAAAGATAAAACACAACCATTACTTCTCCATTTTTGTTTCTTATTTTATCCATTCTAATAAAAGCATGTTACAAAGTTTTTAAAAAAAAAAAGACAAACAATCATTTTATTTTTTTTCATTTTATTTCAGTCAGCTAACTATTATCTCTCGTGGGGTTACCTTGGCGGAAAAGCCGAACACCAATTGATATAAATACAGGCAACCATTGAAAGGTGAACCACTCTATTAATCAACTACCTCATTTCGTCTTCTTTTGCCACTTTCTTCATCCTTCGTCTCTCACTTTCGTTGCTCTTGGAATCTATTCTGAGGAAAATCTTTCTCCTTTTTTCTTTATTTTATGCTCTTCGTTTCGGTTTAAAATTCCGAGCAGTTAATTTGAGTTCGATAAATCACATGGTTTTAAAGTAAGATAAATGTAAAAGAGCTAGTGAGACTGAATGAAAGAGGATTGGACTACAAGAAGATGAAAAAAAAACACAGCAGATATCAAGCAAAAAAAAAAAATAAAAGATATTGTATATTGTACAACATAAAAAATACAATCTTAGTTTTGCATGCCGGCAGCTTGCTTATTCCCTATCACAATTATCATTTCTTTCGCTTTATCTTGATCTTTTCTTCTTCATCTAAGTATAAATAAACACTAAAACTGACAAAAAAATAATACTGAACTGAAATATAGTGACAATTATCTAGTTACATAGAAAATTTTGAAATAAAACAAAATGGCGGAAACAGACTCTTTTTTTTCGTCGTATGAAATTTAATATATTTCAACGCTATTTTCAGGTGAGAAGGATGTTGAAGAAGGCCGCGGAAGATTTCTAAACACCTGACGGACATATCCTTCATCCCAAGACAAATATAAAAAAGAAAAAGGCATATACTTTTTCCAATCCTGATCATAGCTATTCTACATAATCAAGTAGATAAGAAGACAAAGTTTTTTTTGTTTTTTTGTTTTTTGTAATGGCGATATCTGGCTTCGACTGACTGCTGACGTCAAAGGCGTACTACGGGCAACATTTTTTTCTCTCTCTCAAAAAAAAAAAGTTCTACGAAGTGAGTGACGAAGTGAAGAAGTCATCTTTTTCAAGAGACATCTTTTCTGCAACTTGGACGCGGCCGGAGACTAAGACTGCGACGAGATCTGGAACTTTGTTACTTCCGAAGATAAAGATGACTTGTCGGTTGTTGGCTCGGTTTCCCTTGACGCTGATTTCCGCTCGGGGATGGGGATGCAAAGCACTGATATGTCACCAGAAAAAAGTAACTGGGTTTCAGATCTTGGTTTTATGTAAACGAATGTAACACAGAGAAAATGGGCGTCATGTCCAAAAAAAGGAGACTGTGTTGTGTCTTTGTTTACTTTTGTTGAGCATTTGAATTATTTTCTTTTTTTTGGATAGGATAAAAACATTTTTTTTTCCATTCACGCTCTGCCATATACATTTTTGCATTTTGTATATAATATTGGCCCGTATTTTTTCATACATGGTTAATCAAAATGTAAATTATCACAAAAAGTGCTCTAACATGACACTACCAGGACATAAATCAGTTATCGACAACCAAAACACTTTAAAATTTATTTTTAGAAATTCTATTGTAATGCTCGTACTTTAAATAAATGATACACAAATTTTCTGAATTAATCGGATCCCTTTTTATCATAAATATAAAGATTTACACAAACCTCGTCTACCAGCATTTACATCATCCTCTTTCTACTTGTCTTCTTCACTCACCTTCACTTTCACCCTCACTCTTCTTCTCTTTCTCTCCTTTCTTTTTTTCCCTTTTCTCTTTGTTCTTCTCTTTCTCTCTCTCTTCTCTCTCTCTCCTTTTCTCTTTTTCCTCCTCTCTCACAATCATATCCTCTACAAGATACACGTATAGAACATATATAAACATAAAAAGTAGTTCCAAATTGTCTAGTAACACTAAAAACTGGAATCACGATAAATATGAGCAGTTTTTCTATCACATGAAAATTAAACTAAATGATATATGAACTATGGGATAAAGAAAAGGGAAAAGAAAACAAACAAACAAATAATGTGTTATAAGAATACTGAAACCTGAAGTCTGGAAAAATCAAATCACTGAAATTACCTGTTAATGTGTATCAAGATCTTGACAAAGGCAACAATATTCCACATGGACCAAATCCTTATCTTAGTTCCAGTCTTATGAAAACGACCAGTAATCTTGGAAGCTACATTATAAATGTTTCTTTTCTTACCCAGTTAATAACGTAGCCAAGATTGGTGCGTTTCTATTGACATGGATTTGAAAAGAACATTTGTTTTGGTCAGAAAAACACATTATCTTTAATCAAAAATGATTTTATTCATACTTTGCTTCCTACAAAAAATAGGACAAAATTTCTCTGAATACTAATTAAAAACATACTTCTCTGTTTTATCATTACTAAAATTCAGAGTGAAATTAAAATGTCATTTTGTTAATGAGTATTATCTATGTCAATATAGTCAGTATATACTATCTCTAAATAAATCTTCAGATCCTAAATTTACATGATACAGGATTTTTTTTATTTCTCTAATCCATTGTATTTTCTGCAACTAAGAAGCATGTAAAAACTGTGAATGAAAGAAATATTGATTTCCCATTTCATGTATCTTAAAATGCAATATTTATTACCTTACTTTATAATACTAGCTTTCTAGAATCTCTGGTGACCCTGTTGACAAACAAAAATGTTTACATGGAATATATCTTTACGTATTTCCTGTCATGTGAATACCCTCTGAGCATACTGTCATAGTAAGACAAATGCTAATAAAAAGGGAGAAAATCACTGTTAAATATCACAGTGCACGCTATGTATTAATACAACCTCTGAAGTATGACTAAATCTATGCCTCCTCCATGAAAATTTCTCAAAAGACAACTTATATGTCCATTATATTTTAATGAAACTTTCTATGAGCCTTCCTCACCTTGACCTCATCGTATGGAAAAAATCAATTGTCTTTTCCACACATACTGCTAAATCAGACCAAGCAATTTCACCCAGCTAGCCACGCACATCCAAAACAACCCTTAAGCTTCTGAGAAGGACTTAACCGATGTGAAGCGACTGATCATGTCATACGCCCACTTGGGCTGGTCATACGGGACCATGTGGCCTGCATTCCGGATCATCACCTGAACGAACCCAGGGATTTCTCGCACATACCCAGCCACATCATCGTCCACACGCCATATGTGTACCGTTGAGCTCTTGAACTCCTCACTACGTTCCCACTTAAGGGTCTTAAGGAAGTTCTCGGTCAGGTGTAGGCTATGATGATGTCCAGTTGCCCATTGTATATCAGCACGTTATAGTTATCCAACAACTGCAGAAGTGAAGGTCAGGGGTTAATTATGCTCAGTAAATACCTTAGATGCAAATATTACAGCATACATCTTCAGTATTTAAAGCTTAAACACACCAGTAGTAATTTCTAAAACAGTAATAAGAAAAATAAAAATAATAATAATAATCTACATCAACACACTACCAAAATTCCTTCCTACCTCTTCAATCCAAGGCTTCACACTCTTCATGATGTCTTCCAAGAGGTGAGTCTCCACCTCAGAGCCATCATGGAATGTCAGATTACCAACGTGAATGGCCCTTCGCACACCAGGTCGGTTGATGTACTGCTCCCAGTAACTCATGTCCTACAAAAGATGCAACTTCTGTGATTTAAAAGTTGATTTTACTTGATAGACTGAAGCATTTTTAGCATTAAGAAATTGCAGAGCAACATATAAAAAATTAGGAAAACAATACCTCCATTGGAAAAATCAATTATTAATTTTTTGTACTTTCATAAATAAAAATTATAACCCGTATCCTTTTCTAGCTATTAGCTTTGTCTATTAATCTATATTACATTTCTCTTACACTTCATAATGCTCCAGAGCCTGCATTTTTCAAAAGCCATTTTAGCAAAAAACATACACAAATATGAAAATAAATTCAGAGACAACAGTATCGCAAATGGGAGCATTAGCATTAAATTATGAACGTCTTGAACGACTGCCATTAATTCTGTTCTCTATGTCACGCAGATCATACCTTAGGTTCCCCCTGTGCTAGGAAGTTGAAGTTTGGTAAGTCCAGTCACATTGGTGAAGTAAGACGGACCTTCTGTTTTGTCGCCATTCAGAAGACTGTCGAACACCTGTTAGGGAAATATCAAACCAATCTCTTCACTGATAACTTTTATACAGTACTGCATCTTTTTATTTTTTGGACAGAACAGAAAATGGGAATGCTAAAAAATTATTTAAGGCACGAAAAGATGTACTGATTGCACTGGTGATGGTGATTACGATGATGACGACGTCAAGGTCCAAGTCAACGTCGACGATGATGCATTAGGCATCTATATCCCAATCAATAATAATAATAAAAAAAAATTAAAAAAATTAAAAAAAAAAAAAAAAACACAAACCCTTCACTAGAAAATCTTAATAACAACAACCATAATAAAAACCAATCGATCAATCAGTCTACGCGGTCGCCACTACCTCAAAGGCCTTGATCCACTCCTGCTGGTTAATGAAGTCCACCGCCTTGGCACTCTCCTGCTTGAAGTAGATGAGGTCCAAGTCATCGATGAGGCCGACCTGGTACAAGAAGTCCCCGTAATCGACCATTGACACAGGGTCGCAGAGGCCGTCGCCAATAGCCATACCTGCGAAAATTGGACAAAGGTTTTAAACACATGATCATTATGTCAAATAAAAACATCAATATCAACAGTATTAGAAAAAAAAGTAAATTCTTTTTTGACAACTCAAGGAATGGGGAAATCGGCTGAGGATGCGTAGGCTTATTTTTTGTTGTCTGGTGATTACCCAGACAACAAGGGGTAATGACTGTTTGTGCATAGATCCCACAAGAAAATGGATATTTCGGAAAAATCTTTATTTTCATTATTATTGTTATTGCATATAACAATATGATCAATTTCAATGGTGATGGTGAGGATGACGGAGAGGGAGAGGGCGAAGGAGAGGCAGAGGCAGCAGGAGAGGCAGAGGCAGAGGCAGAGGCAGAGGGAGAGGGAGAGGGAGAGGGAGAGGGAGAGGGAGAGGAGAGGGAGAGGGAGAGGGAGAGGGAGAGGAGAGAGGAGAGGGAGAGGGAGAGGGAGGGAGATGATAGAAATGGAGAGGGAGAGGGAGATGATAGAAATGGAGAGGGAGATGATAGAAATGGAGAGGGAGAAGGTGATGTAATACAAATAGTAATGATAAATGGGGATGATGAGGGTACTGATGAAATAATAGGTGATGAAAATGAAATAAAATTGCTGGTTAAAATACTCCTATCACTTTCCAAAATCAAGATACCCTCAGTTTACCCAAAACATAATATTTACTCCACTGTATCAATAATATCATCTTGCTCATAGTACAGAAAATGTATATATAAATACACGCCAGTTTCTTCAAAAGTTACCCATCATTTGAGCCAATATAAAAATTAATCTTAATATAAATACAAAACATATGCGCAATTCTTCCCGTTAATCCTTATTTCTCAATATCAACAAACCTTTTGCTAATCCGCAACTGAAAAGAATACCTTAAACTCACCTTTCAAGTTAATTTTGATTTTTGCCGTTGGGTTCTCCTTATGAATGGTGTATGTTAAAGCTGGAACATACTTCCCTGTAAATTTAAACATATACATGTATGAAAACACTAATAATGGTGCTCAAAACAAAGAACAGTCACACAGTTTAACCTCATATTTGTTATTTTGTCTTTTCACGACCTGACATCATAAAAAATCAAAACACTAATTCTAAAAAAAAAATAAATAAAGGGCTAATGACAGCTCACATACTCATTAATCAGTCACTATTCTCCCACATACCAGCATATGATTCTCCAGTAACAAAGAAGCTATTCCGTTGCAATTCTGGGAAGAGGGTGAAAAACTGCAAAACTGCTGCGTACAGATCACGGCCAACGTCTGTCTGGTTCCTGGCATAGCCTGCATCGTTTTCTGTGAAGCTGAACCCTGGAAATTAAATAAAAACGTTGAAAATTACATAACACATAATCATGCCATAGCATTAGAATCATGTAAAAATTTATAAAGACGAGTCATAGGAATATACATCTTACATCTTATATGCTCTGTATCTTCACCTACAACACAAATGAGATTAACCATAATAACAAATGCAGTTACTACTGACACGTCAAAAAAATCATCTTAAAATACAGGAGAGGAGAGGAGGAGGAGAGGAGGAGGAGGAGGAGGAGGAGAGGAGGAAGGAGGAGTAGGAAGAGGAAGAGGAAGAGAAGAGGAGGAGGAGGAGGAGGAAGAGGAGGAGGAGGAAGAGGAAAGGAGGAGGAGGAAGGAAGAAAAGGAGGAGGAAGAGGAGGAGGAAGAAAAGGAAGAGGAAGAGGAAGAGGAAGAGGAAGAGGAAGAGGAAGAGGAGGAGGAGGAGGAGAGAGGAGAGAGGAGGAGGAGGAGGAGAGAGGAGGAGGAGGAGGAGGAGGAGAGGTGTGGGATGGTAAAGGGCAGGAAGGGAAAGGGAAAGGTGAGGGGAAAGGGGTGGGGAAGGGGAGGAGAAGAGGAAGGAAGAGGAAGAGGACGAGGATGAGAAGAGGAGAGAGTGAAAGAGAGGCAAAATAGGAAGAGGAAAGAAGAACACAGAAAGGAGGAGGAGGAGGAGGGAAGAAGAGGAGGAGGAGGATGAAGAGGAACAGACAGAAGAGGAAAAGGCAGATAAAGAAGAAGAGGAGAGGATGAGGCAGATGAAGAGGGGAAAGAGTCAGAAAACAAGGGAAAAAAAGGAAATGAAAAAGAATTTAAAAAAATAAAAAATAAATAAATAAATTTAAAAAAAAAAAAAAAAAAACATACCTGTCCCAACCGGGTTGTCAATATAGAGGACATTGGGTCTTCGTCCAGGGATTACTTGCGGGGAACGATGTGAAGGTCCTGGTCAATGGTGAATGGTCCGTGTTCGGCAAAGAGTCCGAAGAGGGACGAGCCACCCGGCCCTCCTTGAAGCCACACCAAGACTGGCGCATTTTCTGGCTTGGACTGGAATAGAGGAAGTAGAGTCATTTCCGCCAAGTCTAAATCCCATAATCTGCATACAAGGAATTCTAGAAATCCTCTCTTGCCCTAGCCTGGTGCAGGTTGTGGAAAAAATGCATCAATACTAAAGAGACAATATTGTTAAGAATAATAACAAAAGCAATGATAAATTTCATAAGATCAGCTAAAACATGGATAACAACTGACCACAGAAACAACACCCACAAAAAACAAAATTGGAAAAATCACCCCTTTTGCAGGTGGTATATAAAAAATGAATCTGCTAAACACTCTTCCTTCATTATCTGAGGTTTATTCCATATAATACATTCGAAAGGCCTGAAGAAAAGAAAATTCACAAACCAAAAGTAAGCCTGTTCTTTATCGGTGAGGAGCAACTATCTACAAAGGAGTTCAACATGCCAAAATAAACGCTACAAAGAACAAAAATGATAAGACATTATATAACTAATTCAAAGAACCGTAGAAATCTAGGGGATATCGACAGAAAAAATAATCTAAAACTCTCAGAAAGGATTTCAAAATACAAAAAAAAATCTACAAAGAACAAAAATGATAGACATTATATATCTACATCGAAGAAGCAAAGAATTTTTAGGGTCATCGACAGAAAAAATAAACCAAGACCCTCACAAAGTAGTTCAATATACTAAAAAAAATCTACAAAGAAAAAAAAATGATAGACATTATATATCTATATTGCAGAACCAAAGAAATCTAATCTAAGACCCTTTAAATGGGAAATAAAAAAGAGAAGTAGTAGAATAATAGCCACATCAACAATCACAAAATAAAAATGGTAAATTTGAAAATAAAATCAGATTTAACAAATACTTTCATTAGTCTTCTCAGAATGGGATTCTTTTCAATATCACACAATATCACCTAAAAGAAACGTTAGTAGCCCCAAACCAAAGCCAAGAGAAAAAGCTGATAAACATTCAAAGGGAAAGATCAAAATAATCATACTTATCAACTTACTCTCGAAGGGAAGAACCAGAAGAAGAGGTTGGAGTTGTACTCTTTGTTGACGGTGAAATAGCCTGAGAAACTGTGCCCGTGGCGATGGCCCATGCTAACACGACTTAACGACCTTGCTTCCTGTTGACAATAAAATATGAATTATATGATTTACTATTTCATTTTTCATTCATTTGATATGTCCTTTTGATGCAATTAATTTTACTCTTTTATATTTTATTCTACCAGGATCTTACATTATGTTTACTTCATCTAACTGGCATACATTCTCACAGGATATTTGAATCTATTTTGTTTTCCTATCATTGTGCACTTTAACTTACTTCCTTTGCATATACTAAGAAGGTTAAAAAGTAACAGAGATGAAAAAATAACATACATAAACATAGGCATGCCTACCACATGCCACTTCTCATGCATAAAATTACCTTAACTTTCCCAGCTTCCAAAAGGGGGTAAGGAAGAGGGTTTCCCAGCATCTTTCCCATTCTTCTGCTGGAATTGTAAGGTCACCACCACTCGATAAAAACTTCCGGAAAGGTCCTCGCCATGCAGCTGTGACAGCCGAAAGGGCTAGTAACACCACAAAGCACTTCATTCTTACTCAGTGATGACAGTTTGTTAATGCATTACCTGTTTGGAGAGGAGGAAGTAGAAATGTTAATTTTTATTAATAAAATTGTTGTCTATTTTAAACTTATGAATTTTCAGTCATCTTGGAAGAACAAAATCCCTGGTATAAATACATAAAGAGTAAATAAAGTGATATTATTCTAAAAATATGTTAACAAGGAGCTTGTATGTCAGGGCTCGTTTGTCACCAACAGCTTATATGCCACACCGACTCATCCACCATCACCCTACACCAGAGGCCTACCCTATATACCACCTACTGTCATAGCTAAGTATCATACTTGCGCATTAATCAGTAACAAATCAGTACACCCTAAATAGAGATAAAGTCCCAAAACCAGAGTATCATGCGAACCCAAGACCCAAGCCTAACCTCTCCAACTGTCTCATTATTTCCTAGATGAAAGACAAGCCACATCCATGTCCTCCCATTCATAGCACTTCCTGCCAACTTCTAGAAACAGAACTCTGGCTGTGTGAGGGTGTTATGTACTTTAGTCTCAGAGTGGTCATATGCAGGGGATATTTTCGTCCTTCCATGGTGAATATGAAGCCGCAGCAGCTGTACCTGTATTGCATATGTTGTCTATGACTATTACTTATACTCTATAAGATGGAAGTGTCCATTTCCTCTCTATCTCTGTCCATTGCTCTTGGTAACATTAACCTACAACACAATATACAAAACCTGGTGTAGTTTTATGTGGTAAAACAGTTCACATAATGGATATATAAACAAAATCGGAGATACCTTTCACATAAGAAATTCTTTCACAGATAAAAAAAAAAAAATAATAAATAAATAAATATAACAAAAAATGGATATTCAATACGCGTCTTGAAAACGGATAAAAACTAAGTATTGATTACTTAACTACATTTTCCCATATACTCCCATCTAAAATAATGTAGTAATGCCTCGCTATACTAAAGGACGAACGAGTCTTACCCTCTTCCACTGACAATGCAGCAAGGCAAGACACAACACTGCTTCCTATTCCAAAGAACCAAAAGGACCCCCACTTCACGCATACCAACAAAGACCGAAACGAAAACAAAGAAATTACGTAAAATAAAATAACCTCTTCATTTCCAAACATCCTACAATAACACAAACCCCTTATTCAAGCCCCATCACTCGCCAAGTAACCAATAACTCCCCAAATCACGAAAATTACAGCGAAAAACGGGGAGAAAGGGGATATATCTTACCGGTCGAGGCGAAGGTTATCTCCGAGTGACACTGAGTAAACATCCGCTCGGTTACAACGGCAAAACAATGACAAACAGTATCACGTGCTGTTGACTCTCGTATTTCAAAAACAAATATATGATAATACTGATTAATGAACAGTAAACTTTGGTCTAAAATCCTATAAAAGAAGAAAGAGAAGAATAGGAAAGTAAAATTAATATTCAAAATTGTAAAACAATGACAAACAGTATCACGTGCTGTTGACTCTATATAAAAGCAAATTATGTAATAACTGATTAATGAATAGTAAACTTTGGTCTAAAATCCTATAAAAGAAGAAAGAAAAGAATAGGAAAGTAAAATTAATATTCAAAACTGTAAAACAATGACAAACATTATCACGTGCTGTTGACACTGTTATTGAAAAAATAACTGATAAATGAATATGTAGTTAGTTAAACCTAGAAGAATAGGAAAGTGGAAGAAAGAAAGAATAGGAAAACAGAGAAAAGAAGAACAGGAAAGTAAAAGAAAAGAAGAAGAGGAAAGTAGAATTAATATTAATGATTGTAACGATGAGTGTATTGGTGATAATATCGATATCAATGTCACCGTTAACACTATCAGCATTAAATAAAAGAAGAAAGAAGGAGAAAGAGAAAGGAAAACATATAATCATGATTGTGAGTAAACATCCGTTGACTGCATTGAAGATAAAAACTGATAAATAAATAGTTAGAGTTTGGTCTAAAACCCTATAAAAGAAGAAGAAAGAAAAGAATAGGAAAGTAAAACTAAGATTCGTAATTGAGAGTAAAGCTCCGTCGGTTACAACAGTAAGACAATGACAGACATTATCACGTGCTGTTGACTCTGTATTTGAAAAAAAACAAACAAACGATTGCATAGTAGAAGTTTGGTCTGAATCCCTATAAAAGAAAGAATAGACAAGTAAAGTAGATATTATATTTTCTTCTACTTTCTTCTTTTATAGGGTTTTAGACATTTGTGTAGTCAATACCCCCTGGATCCATTTTCTTTTATATTCTTTCTTTTAAATGATCTGCACCTGTGAATAATAAGTCTATATTAGGGTTGTATATTTTGATTTTTCGTAGAGCTTCTTTTAGAGTTCGTTCTGCTGGAATGAAATCGTGGACATTGTGTAGTGATGTACTGTACCCGAAATCCCGCCAGTGGTCAAAATGCCTTAGTCTCCCATCTCTGCTGCGACGGGAAGAGAATGACAAGAGATGGCGCCACCCGCGACGGACCTGCGGCTTACTTCCTCCTTGAAAGATTTACTATAAAATACCTGCTGTTATTCTTTATGTGGTTCGGCATCAGACTCAAATTTGAATGGACTAAATACTGTGCAGAGTGCATGTGTGCGTAGATGTCTTGGAGCCCTCAAATGCACAAGTCTTGAGGTGGAGTCAGGATTACCTCCCTCCAACTGACCTCAGCCGTAAAGGTGGCTTGAGACCCGAGCCACCCTAATGGTAATGGTGCCATTAGGCCCTTTACCGCAAGACTCCACGACCTCATCCAAAAAGTAGTATAGATCTCTCTACCATCGATACCCTGGTTCAAACAAATATAGCGCCATGGGAAACGCCCAATTTTTACCATCATGGAAGCTTGGCTTCCATCGACCAACCATGGCGCCGGAGGTGGAGGTACGCCAGAGGTTCAGAGAGATCCTTATTAAACATCTACTTTTTTCATATATATACCGACGGCTCCAAGACCTAGCAAGTTGTGGGTGCGGGTGTATGGTCGACTGAATGTGAATTGAGATTCAGACTGCCGAATCATACATCGATCTTTATTGCCGAACTTTTTGCTATTGACAAAGCTATTGATTTTGCACTATCGACGACCCACGACCATATGTCATTTTTTCTGATTCGTTAAGTTCACTTGGTAATTTTTCTATATTACGTCCGCATAACCGATATCGACGATTTTGGTATTGTTGGATTCCTCTCACTCTATACAATGCAAATATGTAGGTTTTATTGCGCGGAAACCCCCCGTTAGCGACAAACTTGGCCCCGATAGCGGGGGCGACGATGTAGGAGCGGCGGACGTAATATATAAAATTACCCTAATAATATAACCTCACAGTGAAAATAACCATGGTTATTCACATGACTTTCCATTGCAGGGGGCTGCGCCCTGCCCCCCTGGGGGGCTGCCGCCCCCAACCCCCGCCGAGGAAACAAAACCTCCACCACGTATTCACGGCAGGATAGAGCGCACACGAACTATATGCGGAGCCGATAACCTACAATAACCTAGGATTTTTAAGGTACTAACCTGATTGATTAATGCCACTAATTAGTAGGGAGGGTGCTCCTTTGCCGCAGAATGTGAAGGAGGCAGGGTGCGTCCGGCAGGTCTTTTCTTTTTCAGGTCCAGGCGTGCTGGCTGCCCGCACCTGCCGCAGGCTTTCTCCGACGGAGGAGCCGTGGCGGAAGCACATCTCTAGCATTTTTTCCTGGCTAGTTGCAATTTCGCGCAGAAAATCCGTCTCCGAATACGAGCACCCTCCACACTCGGCCATCGCGGCGGCTATGACTGACTTCTGAACGCGACGGTTATTTCGGTTAGGAATACGAATGTCGTTATTCCAGAGGAAGGGAAAATCGACCTTGAGGCCATCGGTGTAACATCGAAAGAGGCGCAAAACCCGCCGACGAGGGCGGGCCACCCTGTTCATCCTGATTATACTACAATCGTCTCTATATACAATGCTGACTATAATAGGTTAATATGCTGATTCAGTGGAATCTTACGAGGTAATTGTAATTACGCCCGCCGCTCCGACATCGACGATGATTGTGTAACGCTCTAGCCTGCCGGGAATACGTGGTGGTTTTGTTTCCTCGGCGGGGGTTGGGGGCGGCCCCCCCCAGGGGGGTCGCAGGGGCACAGCCCCCTGCAATGGAAAGTTATGTGAATAACCATGGTTATTTTCACTGTGCGTTATATTTTAGTGTTATTTAACCCCGCATTTTCCCTGGAACCTTCATGCCCTCCCCTGCTATCGGGGCCAAGTTTGTCGCTAACGGGGGGGGGGGTTCCGCACAAAAAAACTATATATTTGCAATGTGGAGAGTGAGAGGAATCCAACTATACGAAAATCGTCGATATCGGTTATGCGGACGTAATATAGAAAAATTACCATATATATATACATATATATATATGTGTATGTATGTAATATATATATATATATATTATATATATATATATTATATATATATATATATGTTATATTTATATGTCTATATATGTATATATATATATATGTATGTATATATATATATATATATATATATATATTATATTATATATATGTAGTATATATATGTATTATATACATTTATATACATACAATAATATATATTATATATATATATAAATATATATATATATATATATACATATGTGTGTGTGTTGTGTGTGTGTGTGTGTGTTATAACATAAGATATATATGTATATACGTATATATATATAAATATGAATATATATGTATATATATATATATATATATATATATATATATATATATTATATTTTTTATTTATTTATTTATATATAAGAGAGAGGAGAGAGAGAGATGAGAGAGAGAGAGAGAGAGAGAGAGAGAGAGACAGGAGGGAGGGAAGGAGGAAAATAAAGATTATATCCAAACATTCAATTAGTGAGAATCTCCCTGAACAAATCAGACGAGGCTCCTGGCTGGTCAAGCCGAACGCGCGCGCCG